TGGAAATCCCGCTTTCGACAGTCAATAGAATCATCGTGCAGTTCAGGAAACATGGCAAGGAAACAACTGAGCAGCGTCTGGGTAGTCCTGGTCCATCGGAGAGGACAAAAAGGGCTGTCAAGAGGAGCATCGAAATGGATTCCAGATTAACGACTGCAGAAGTGGCCAAAGTTGGTTGGATGAGCCCGAAATTTGTTCAACGGATTCTCCACAGATTAGGTTATTGTTGCAGAGCAGCTAGACAGAAGCCCTTATTAAGACCTGCCAACATAGTCAGACGAAAGAAGTGGGCAAGTAATATGATGACCAAGCCTCTGGACTTTTGGAAGACCGTATTGTTCTCAGACGAATCAAGATTCGCTCAATTCTTGGACAGTGGAAGGATATGGGTCTGGAGAATGCCTCACCAAGAGTTTTGGCTCAACTGATTGCAGCCAACTGTGAAGCATGGTGATTTCAGCGTGATGGTTTGGGGAGCTGTTTGGGTTGGTGGGAGATCGAGCTTAGTGGAGTGCGTTGGCAACACAAGTTTTGGGAAATACGTCGAAATATTAGAGGAAAGACTCTTGTCACTTTATTCCTCGGGTTTCGTGGACAAGAACACAACATTGTTCCAGGAAGATGGAGCACCGTGTCACACTGCTAGAAACACCCAAAAGTGGCAGGAAGAAAATGGTATCCAGAAGTTGCCCTGGCCGAGCCAATCTCCTGACATGAACCCCATCGAAAACCTCTGGGCCATACTTGACCGGCAAGTCAAGAAACAACCAAAAAACCAACTTCGAAGAGCGATCTACTCCAAGTTTTGAAGCAAGAGTGGGCGAAAATCCCACAATCTAAAACTGATGAGATGATTCTCACGATGCCCCAAAGGATCAATGAACTCCACAAAGCGAAAGGAAAATCTACTAGATATTAATTAAATTATAAATATATCAATTCATGTGAATATGACTGAAAAATTTCATTTTTGCTGAAAAGGTGGTGTCCAGTTACTTGTGACCATGCTGTGTACAGATGGTCAGAATGTTTTTCTGGTGGATGACAACATGCACCATTATGGTGCTGAACTGTTTAGTAGTTTCTTGAAAAAGGATAGCAGAGAAAATGGACTGGCCAGCATGCTCACCACACTTAAATTTGATTGGACACATACGAGTCACTCTACAAAGACGCTTGGCAACATGCAATTTACCTCCAGACAGTGTAATTATTTTGAGCAATGTATTCAGAATACGCATGTTAAAGTTGAAATGTAGTGGGTAAACATTTTTTACTGAAAATACTTACAACATACATTAAACACTAAACTATGAATAATTCTGAGCAAAATGTCTTACATTTCAGCACACAATTTCTAAATAGAAAGACATTTATTCTGTCAAATTTGAGAATGTTATAAATGCAATTTTTTTCTGTTGAAAAGAAACTGTCAGTTCACAGCTGGAAAAAAATTTTTGACTTGGTATTAAGGTTAAAACAAAAGCCTTTTGAATTACATGCTGGTAAAAAAAAATATGATAAGATTTCCTTTTATACATTACAATTGTTGATGCTGCACTTACTATCTGAGGAAAAGCTGTGTGGACTATGAATATAAATTTTTAACACTCGTATTTTTGTTATTTGAAGCTTACTCTAGATGCTAGTAAAAACTAAAGAAACTTACCTTCATCAGAACACTTTTTACATGGACTACCCCAAGCTTTTCCAACTGTAGCACAACATTCAGACTTCAGCATAGGTTCCTTTAGATCATTCTCACAGTGCCCATTTCGGAGCTTTAACCAACAGGAGCTTCTTCTGTTATCTGTCAGATAATATACAAGTGATTGTGAAAAAATAAAGATAAGAGATTTTTATGAAATACAGTTTTCAATATTATACACAAAACATATTGCTAACCACTGTAAAAACTGTCATATTGCTATGACAATAAACTTATATGAATAGAAACATCCAAATGATAAAGTATAAAAATAAGCATGAAGAGCTAAAATGTGATGTAAATGAAATGATTTTCAAATTTGGGAAGATTATAGGAGATCAAGTGAGTTGGACAAATGAGAAATCAGGAAATCAAAACTACAAGAAAAAAGGTTGGTTGAAACTGTAAAAATTAATAGTGAGGACTTTTTAAATACATGAAGCATAAGCAAAATGTAAGTTCTTTGAGGGATGATAGAAGAAGGCTAAGATGGGAAGATTATGGGATGGCTTGGTTATTAAATTATACCTTTTCTTCAGTTTTTACTAGTGAGATTAAAGCAATATTCCTCATCTTGAACAATAGAATAGAATCTAAATAGAAACAAGACTGAACAAGATGATCACATTAATTTTGAGCTTGTTAAGAAAAATTTGGGAAGTTTAAAGAATGATACAGCTCCTGGCCCAGATAAAATTTTTCCAAAGGTTTTGAAGAGGGTTAAATATTGAATGTGTGAGCCACTTGTTACTATATTTTCTAAGCCCATGAATAGTGGGCAGGCACCAGAAGATTGGAAGTTGACTAATGTTGCAGCTCTTTTCAAAGGAGATGGTCAAAATTGTCTATTAGTCTTTGAAAAGTGTTGGGAAAGTCTGTTAAAAGATGCTTTGTAAAGTGATTTTACAAACTTTTATAATTTTTCAGGCATATTTTGCTACTATATTAAGAGTAAAAAACAAAACGAATTCTTTGGCAAAATGAAAGATAAAATCTTTATTAAAAATTTCAGCTGACTAGTTTCAGTAATACAGTTACCATCATCAGGGCTACTGACTTAATTCTTATCAAATACTTCTATTTCATTGTGCCAAAAAACATCATTTTTGTTTTTTACTCTTAATATGACTTAAAGTTTAAAATTTTGTTGGTTAGTCAGTTGTACTTTTATATTTACTACATATATATTTCATATACGTTTCAGATAAAGTGATTCATTGTTATTAACACAACATCAAAAGTACATTCTAACTTGGTTGGTGCTGTGTTCATAAAATCAAAACACTGATCAAGTTACTTTTGTTGTGTATTTAAATATTATTTCCTATTTTGGATATACAAGAGTGTTTAGCTTAATAGTTATCATTTGGTTTGTTGTGATGATTTAGTATATAACAGATATTTAGTTTTTATAAAAAGTGTTAAAAGTTGATTATTTTAAAAGTGATAGTTATGACAAATTTTGTTACATAACTCAGTAAGAATCTTACATTGTGCGTGTAGTTCAATTGTTGTAGTATTGCTGATGTCATCTTTCTCAAAATCTCTAAGTTTTTCTCACTATGTGAGTAATGTTACATCACAGCATTTCCTAGTTTGAAAAAAGTTCTTGGTCTCAGTTGTAAAATGTATAAGTATAGGCGACCAAGTGAAGATCAGTCAGAAAATTTGAAAGTTAGAAAACTTGAAGTTACTCAGCATGTGAGTGATTAGCCTTAACGGGTGATATCTTAAAGTGAGTTTCAAAGTTTAACAAAAATAAGGGGAATAATTTGTCTCATCAACGGGTGTTCTAAAGTAACTAAACCTTCCAGTGTGACAACGAGACAATTTTTAAAGATCAGCATACAACTATGATAACCCACAGGGTAACATAAATGAATTATTCACTGATACGATTGTGACAAGAGTAGAGAAAATAATTCGTGTCAGTTGAATCCTAAAGTGATTGAATCAGCCTGTGTGGACTTTTGACAGGAAAAGAGAATTATTTAGAGTTTTAGATACAATTGTGATATCCTACAGTGTAAAGAATTTTTTGTACATATATTTGACTTGTTTTGAATATGTTATTTTAAAACAAGTGGATTGTGTGCTGCCCATTTATTGTTCAAATTTATCACCAACAAGTCACAGACACCTACTGTAGAAGAATCCCAACCCACATATTAAAACCCTGACATCCTACATATGTATGTCCCCTTGATGGTTGATGTAAATTGACCATGGAATTGTTGGAGTGAATCACGACCAAGTAATCCACCAATAGGGGCAGGAAATAGAAACATCAGTGAAGAAATGGAGATCTGGTCTGGCAGATGGTATGGGAACTCTGGAGGCAGTATTGGCACGATTCAGCTACCATAACATTTTCTTGTGTAGATGAGAGGGGAGGTTCACAATTGAGGATAGTGAATCCCAAGAAGGTATCCATTAGTCCCACAATATCCACTGGAGAAGGAGCATGTGTGCACATCCCAAAAGAATAAGGGATTGCAGGAAAACCAGAATCCTCCAAAGCAAAAAAAACCTCTCATGCAGGATGAGATGGAGAATCGTGAATTTTGGTGACTAGACTCTCCAAAGCTCATGGGTGAAGGGAAGAGGGCTGAGCTCAGAGTTAAAAAGATCCCCAAATGTACCAAATACTAAGTGGGTATAAAAAGGATTTGGATATCTTGACAAAATACCCCAACCAAACAGCCACCTGCAGAGAAAGAGATGTATGAGAAGAGGATACCTCCTGGGAATTAGTTAATATGAGCAAATCATCCATGCAGAAAAGCAATTTCAGTCCCAGGCCATGAAGGTGGCAAGTAATGATCCTCATAATTCAGTTGAAGACGTAAGAAGCTGACTCCATGTAAAAGAGAAGAGCATGGAGCTGGAAGACACAATTCCTATGGATGAATTGAGATGTGGAAGAAGGCATCTGGAATGTTGACCTTGGTCATCCACAGTCCAGGTAAAAAGGACCACTAGAGTAAAAATAAATTCTCCATCCAGAAACGTGGAACAACCAGAAAATGGTTAAGAGATATCATGCATTTGGTAATTGACTGGTCTCTGGTCTTATTGGAAACCACAAAAAAAGACGACAGTAACAAACCACTCTCGATGGCATGATTGTCCAAAAGACCCAATACTGCCTCATTGAGATGTTGAAGATAGACAGAATCAGAGGGAGGAGAAAAGGAAGTATGAAAAGGAGAGATAGAGATGGAGAAGAGAATTGGAGAGATAGAGAGTGAAGATTTGAGGAACCCATCTGTTGGTAGAAAAACCATGACCAAAGTCACTGACGAGATGTGACAGACCCAATGGCAGGCAATGGGTTGATGGGAAAGGGAGGAAGGTCTAGAAGACAGAATAGGAAGGTGAGGAGTAGACTGACCAGATCAAGGAACAGGAGTTGAAAGGAGAGGCTATGAGAAGCAAGAAACCAGAGAATATAATGAGGACTGGTGTCAGGCCACCTCTGCCTGAATCTTCACTGAGTCAGGAACATCACCAAAGGAGTCAAGGCGAAGAAAGGGAGCCTGGCAAAGACCATGCAGATAGGAAGTGGTAGGCATACATTAGTAAGGAGGGCATCCCTACCTAATAAGTCACAACAGCAGAAAACTAAGTAAATAGGGATAAGGTAAAATAAGTAGTATGGGCCACAGTGGTAAAAAGAAGGGAATGAACCTCCCTGAAAACTCATCTAGAGCACGATGAAGAAAAAGAAAGGAAGAATGACTGTAAGCTAGTACAAGAGAATGAGAAAAGTGAGGAAGGAAAAGCATATGGTGAGGCTATGAAGTTGTTCAAGGAAGGAGTCAGCATGAACCCAAATGTCAGGTATGGGAGGAAAGACTAAATAATAGAGAGATTACATTCCTGAAGCAAAGAATGTGAGGAATCATAAGACAGAGATGAATAAGAAAGAAAGGAACATACCCGAGAGATCAAGTCCTGAAAGAATGTTGAAGTCAGAGGAAAACTATTTATCCAAATGTTTATATGGATACAAATAAACTTACACTGTGGTTTTCTAAATACTCCCAGAAAAACAAACTTTTCATATATTTTTAACAAAGAATGCCTGATCCTGTTTTAAAATTATGTAACATTTAAATACATACAAGGAGCATATTCATGTACTAAAGGTATCAACTACATAACTTTACCTATACAAATGTTTCGCGAGGAATCTAGAATAGTTCCTGGTTCACACTCGCATCGATAGCTTCCTACTGTATTAGAACAAACTCCACCAATACAACGCTTCTGGCCTGGCTCTCTGCACTCATCAATATCTGTAGCAATTAAATGAAGTATTAAATTGTTCATATTTCATTGTACAATAAAAACTATTAAAACAATAAGTGGTATTATTAAGTTCCAGCTTTCTTCTCTATTAGGTTTCCTGTAAAATTTAAAATTGGACTACCTGGGTCTCCTAAAATTCTTGTATATATCATTTAATTTTTAATGTCTTGACTTGCATTGTACTAACAAAATGAATAGGCTTACTTCAAGATATTACATTCACAGCTTAATCTAACATTGTAGTTCATCCATAACAGATATAGTTTGCATACTGTAACTAGTCTTAAAGTTTCAATATTTATTTACATATTGTATGTATAGCTTCACTTTCACATGAATAAGTTTTTTTTATCCACAGCATTACTTTTAAATGCCTGTGTATTATATTCACAGCCTACTATCACGTTGGGCAACATTTATAACATATATAATTTACGCATTATATCCAGTCTCAAATTTTCAAAGTCACTTACATATTATATCTATAGCTTCACTTTTACATACATTGGTAATTTTTGATATACAGCACTACATTTAAATACTTATGTATTACATCTACAACTTTACTGTTACAAAGAATTTGCCTGTGTATTGCATTTAAGACCATACAGTCACAAACATTAGCCTGTTTACTGCATATATGACCTCATTATCACAAAAACTAGCCCATATATTGCATCTACAACATTATTGCCAAAAGAATTAGTCTATGTATTGTACCTACAAAGTTAAATTTACAAAAATTAATTATATATATATATATATATATATATATTCACATCCATACTATGACATTAATGTATTGTGTGTTTTGTATACACTGCATTAATTTAATATTAAATATCGGAATGTGTACCTTGTCAACAGCCTTACCTTCACAAGAATTAGTTTGTGTATTATGTCGATATCCTGTAGGACAAGTACACTGAAAGCTTCCTGGGGTGTTTCGACACTGACCATTATCACACAGGAGGAGGTTGACAGCACATTCATTGACATCTGAAACAATGATTTATATATAAATGTGAAATATTTAACAATGGTTTGTAAAATACTAAACATGCTCTATTTACTAACTTTTTCAAGAAAGTTGATCTGAGTAAAGAAGTATATAATGATTATATTACAATTATAACTACTGTAAAACAAAAATTCTTTTTTCTAATCCAAGTCAGATAATATATTTGTATTCCTTCAAATTAAAAATATATTTAAAACAGATGATGACATGATAATTAAAATGTTTGTAAACAACACACCAATACCTTCCAGCTTTTTAAAGAACTGTAGCAATTAGTCCTAAACAGTGGAGGTCAGTCGGATGCACATGTGCAACATAGTGTTTCAGGAATATCATCACTAAATTTCTACCATGAACATTTTGTGAAACTCTTATTTAAAAGTAGCATAATACTTAAGTAACTATAGTTTTAATTTTGCTATTAACAAGCTGTTACAGTAGGTCTTGAGGATTAGCTTTAATTTCTTTACTACAGTCATTTCATTTGCAATTTCTCTTATGACAAATACATTAAACTGTAGCTGCTTGTCAACAACTAGTGTGACACAAAAGTTACACACTATCATATTATTTCTAGGTCCAATCCTTACTCTGAGTTTTCTATGATATATCTGTGTTTCATTAACTATCTCTTTTTCTTTTGTATTGATAATTGGTTAGAATGTGATTAACTTTGCAAGAATTTGTGGAAGTGATTCTGTTGTGACATTATACTATATCAATGGCGCACATTTTGAACAACTATAAGGTCAAGTAGAAAAAATTGATCAGTTTCTCAGGCACTGCAACATCAGACAAAACCATGTCACATAAACTTTTTTTTTGTTTATCAGAATTTTTACTTTCAATTGATGCATACTATAAACATAAGGTTTGTTTATTTTTTAGAATTATTACACTACAGATTTGAAATTCTTTCAAGTATCACTTTTTGTGTGCAGAAATTGAAAAAGCAAGACTTGATAACAGAAACTAATACTTTTAGAAAGTAACTTGTTTATACATAAAACATGACATTTAAAAGCAGGGATAGAAATAATAAAATAAAATTACATTCACTTGTGAGAAAGCTATTAGGAAGATTACATTCCCTCATGTAAAGTTGCATTTCCTCGTGAACTGTTTTTTATTTAATCCATGCAATATGTTCACTTTCATTGGTCAGAACTAAAGGAATACGGATGGACCATGCATTCCTGATCAGGAAAGCCAACTAAAAAGATGAAATTCATCAAGCAAATTTAAATTCCTCAGGAATATGGGAATCTAATATTTCGATCCCTGAAATGGTACATTCACATATGCAAATACTGTAAGTAAATGCCAAAAAAAACATCAGAAAAATCAAGAGAGTTATAACTGAAGTTCTATGTTCATTTAATATTAAGTGACTTTTTGTTATTATTATTATTTAATCAAAGAGTATTGTCAAAGAAAATATTTGTAGTAAACTACAACAATTGAGCATATTCCATAAAACAGAATAAGTCATTCATATGTACAGTAATAGAACAAGACTTTGATTGAATACCTGAGCATACTTTTCCTGTGGAGTCCACTTCATATCCTGGGTTACAAACACACCTGTAACTTCCCTTCAAGTCCTCACATGCTCCATTTGGACAGATATTTGGGTATACCATACATTCATTGATGTCTGAAGTTAATATTGGTGTCATTAGTAATACTGACAAACAAATTCTAATATTTTCTTATTCAATCTGTTTTTCATGAAAATCTACAGTTATCATTACATATATTTTTCAAGTATTATACACTTAATGGTTTCCTATTAGATAGATAAAATTCAGGATATCTTTTTAGTTTTATAACTCCCTTAAGAAGAAAACTAATACAAGACAAAAAGAAAACTGCTTAATCTTTATTTCCTAAATAATATTTAAAATTTTTTACCTTCTCCAAAATGTCCATTATGTGTTGGAGTACAAAGCTTACTGAAATCTACACTTCCAGGATGAGGACAAGGAGTACAAGGTGTTCCCCACGCTGGACTGACAGAGTTCATTACTGAAACAGCACAGCAGCAAGATGACTTAGTTACAAGCATCTTGGAAGGTTCACTGCATTCTCCATCTCTATAGACAGAGTAACAGTAATCACGGCGATTGTCTGAAAGAAAATAAGTAGTTTAGGTTATCCTTTGTCACTGAAAAATCAGCAAACAAAACCATTAAACAAATTAATCAAGCATATAAAACAAAATACTTGCAAATACAATTTTTGGGAGGAAAAGAAGACAGGCAGATCTGTCTAGAAAGACAAACTGATAAAAAGTGTAGTCTCCAATGTGAAAAAACCAAACAAACTTGATGACCAAAGTTGGCTTTCTTACCTTCTGTTAACCCTTTGAATACCAACATAGATATATTATGTACCACACACAGATTTTGTAATAGGCCATTATTTTTTAACATGAGAAACTCAGGTCTAGTGACTTATAATAATTAATTAAAAATTAATCATTAGGTTATTTTGTCTATACATCATAGATATATTATACTTAAACTAATGTTGGCCACATAAGTTTGTATGATATATTTGCAAAAGATGAAGTTAGAAATTTTTTTAATGACTTTTATACATTGGCAACCATTATCTTATAGAATTTTTTTTTTAAATAGTCTATCTGTGAATTTAATAGCTTTTTCATGAATAGTTTGAGATGAAATTGCATGTACATTTATGTTGTTAATATGTGTGCCAGAGTATGGCTAAAGTTTATCATCGAAATTAACAGTATATTAAGAAAATTAGCAATAATAATGAAATCTGGTCCTTTTCTCTAAAAATAATAATTTACAATATAAAGGTTATCAAATACGTAATTTTTACCAAAACACACTTGTCCTCCACCTAAGGTCTGTCCATCCAGACAGATGCACTCATAACTTCCTTGAGTATTGATACATCTGCCCAATCCACACACTTCAGGCTTTGTTGTGCATTCATTCACATCTAAATTAGACAATAAAATCACTCTTATCCATGACCACAATACTAATTATGTACATCATCATTAGTTCTGAAAAACGTTTCTCCATAAATCAACTGCTGAATAGTGGCTATGAAGAAGGACCAACTGCGAAGTTTTATAGGATAACTACTTCTAGAGCCATCAAATACATTAATATTCCTTCAATATATATAATACCTGTTGACCAAGTTGGTCTCTAGTGATTAAAACTCGAGATCTAGCACTGTTTATTGACAAGAAATGTTTGCAGCAAAATTACACTTTTTTTCACCCTGAAATGATTGTAACTATTACATAAAATTCTACTAAAAAAATTATCTTTGAAACACAGTAGTGTATGGAGTAAAAAACTAAAAAGAAAAAGTATCTTTAAATATATCTTATCACATCTATCATTTATTGAAATATAATATACTTAAACAACTTAAGGCATAATTTCTTATGACTTCGTACACACAGAACAGGAGATACACACTCTTTTTACCCAGTTTTTACTGATATTTTCTAAATATCTATTCTAGTTTACTTGATTGTTAATTCAAAATAATTAATTTTTTCATTCAAATATCACCTTTAGTATCTGTAAGATACAACTGAGTTATATTACAAAACCAGCATTAAATATATTAGTATAACTGATTTTTTGAAATGAAGTTATTTAACTTCTAGCTAATATATACTTAACTCCTCAAGTATTTGATAAGTGAGATAAGAAATATTTCTAATCTAAAAAAAAACGAAAGAGGAGAATTATATATCTATATATGGTTTGATAATCTCATTTTTTGTCACTATTACAAATTATCATTTTATGCAAATAATGATTAAACTGTGTTTTTACGTTTACACGTTCTTATATGACAAATGTCTACAAAAATTAACATTAGTTTTAACTGTCAAAGATTTATCCTTATGCTCCTGGTTTGAAAGTGTCATACTGTTTTATGTATCAAAACATACTGGTGTCATTTCTGTCCCCATCTTTTTTGTGCTGCTGAACTTATTGATACCAACTGTAAGTGACAGTAGATAGATGTCTGTTTCAATTAGAAGATTTCTTACTTTCTCTGTAATAATGTTCTGGTATTTGATGTATTACCTTAACAGCAGATCATCATTATTTAGGGTAGAAAAGATGTCACACTCAATTTCTAATATAATTCATGGAAAAGGTTCGACAGAAGGTGGGGTGTTTTATATTAAAATGAATTTGAATAGACAAATAAGTAAGTCATGTGACAACCATAGCCAATATAAAGTGGTGGTGGAATGACATGTATCAAAACTACATTTTGACCTTGTTTGGCATTTTGTAGGTAATGTGGTGCTACCAAACAGTTATCACTTTGAGAAGGATATGTAAAAGTCCTTTCTGATGCAAACTATTAATACACTTAGATCATAATAATGTGTTTAGATTGGAGATCTAGAATTTCCAAGATGAGGATAATCCCTCTTCTTTAATGGCATTGGAAAACGAACTTTGGATGAACCTAGGGCACCAGGACTCTCAAGGCAGAATCCTACAACAATTCATACCCCATCCATGGGAAGCAAAGTGTGGCATTTTGTAACAGTTGAGAATTCATGAATACAAAAATCAGTGGCAAAAGCTGATCACATGTCCAAGGCTACAGTATGAAACATAATCAAAAATGATCTCCATCTGGAAAAGTGACACAAGTTACATGTGGGCAAGCTGCTTCTATGACATATCAGTTCAACTGTCACATTACTTCATGCAGTTGGAAAATGAAATGGATATTCATGTTTTTCCATACCAAACATACCAGCCAAGTCACCAGATGCAGTGCTTATGGATTTCTGTGTACTCATATTGTTGAAACATGTACTGGGAAACTGTCATTATCACACATTAAGCAGCTTATGGAAAGCTTAAAGGATGAGGGGTGTGTTACAAACATGACAGCCTTATGATGGAGTATTTTGCAATGAAAACTACACTGCAAGGTTATTGTGGTCAGATAGAGCATGAGAAAATGTGTTTACATGGACAATGATGATGTGATGAGATTCAAAGATAATTTTCGTATGATGGACTGAACCACTGTATATTCACTTTAAAACATTTTATTTAATCTGTTTAGCATGTTTTTCATTTTGTAATGTATTCTTTTACTACTCATATACTGTATTTATTCTTGAATGTTGACACTTTATTAACACAAACTAGGAAATAATAAATTACCTTTAAACTTTACCTAAATGTTAAAATAAAGTTTTAGTTTATGATTTTAAATAGTATGATTCACATGTTAGCAAGTGTTAAATTATGAATATCTTCATTCATTATTAGCTTACAGAGACAAACTTACCAACACATATGTGGCCATCTGGTGACAAGGTAAATCCAGGATCACATAGACACCTGAAGCTACCATCAGCGTTAACACATCTACCATTTGTACACATCCCTGTTTGTGCACACTCATTCTTATCTATTACATGATAAAACAAGTATCAGACAAAATCACTTCAGTTAGTTGATAATTTTATCATTGCTGCAGAATAAAAATTCTCTATTAGTGTTGAGAATCTCAGTTTGGTTTCTTATTAAGAGTAAAAAAAAAATTGATTTTTCATACATTAATAAAATTCAAAGGTTTCTATTTTAATAATAGGATCTCAAATGTTAGAAGTTTGTCATTCAAGTAAAATATCTAAAGACCAGCATAGATTTCTTAACATTCTCTATATGAGATACATAATGATATTTTGAAATGAAAAATAATTTAATTGGTTTACACATAAAACAATAACAGACATAACATCCTTATGTTATGAATTTCAATTCTATTTTAATGGAATGTGTAGTAAGGACTAGAGAATTGTAATACAGCCCTCCTTCCTTATAACACCAACCTAGGTATCATAATTTCATTGAATGTATACTGAGGGTACAAGTTTAAGGAGGATTTGCATATAGACACTATTTATATAAAAAGTACTTATGTATGTACATATAATACTAGATGTACTTCTGTAGGGTCCCCAAAAGTGTTCCATTTCAAGAGTAAATAAAACCAAAATTAAGAGTAACAATATTTTTATTCATTTATTTTGAAATTCATATGTCATGCTGTGTTGTAGCCTACAGAGTACATAATTCTTCTAGTGATTCATGGCATGTACACATTTACTGAAATCATGACAGTACAAATTGCAATGTTCAGCATCTCTTATATGTCATCATTCTAGTGTCTACTGACTGACTGACAGACAGACAACACACTACTGTAGTTAAAACAGGTGACACTTCCAGGCAGCCTTTGGGGGAAAGGCTATGAGCTGTTGTAGATATTTTATCTGCTAGAGCAATTAACTTAGTTAACTTAGTTAATTGCTCTAGCAGATAAAATATCTACAACAGCTCATAATTTGACAAGAACACCCTATGTACTGGTGAAATAATTTACTACGTTTTGTTGGCTGGATATAGTATTATTTTAAGTGTGCTCTCATATTTCCTACTTTTGATCAACTGAAACACACACCTTTTTTTCCAGATGCAATTTTAAGATTAAACTATGCATTTGTGTAAATGCAGAATATCTTGACCAGATTATGGGTGCATATTACTTTATTTTTATTAGCAATAAGATATAAACCTAAATAGGTATGTTCTTTAATTTTAACCCATGTTGTTGTGTTTTAATGTAACTACAGTATGTAATTACATAATTAGTTAAGTGTGCCACTAGTGGTATATCAAAGAGAAATTATATTGTTTATATGCTTTTTGTATGGGAGCTCACCTTATGATGGCAGTAAATACAAAGAAAATGTATCATGGAAATCCATACATTGAAATTTCTTGGTGATAAGTGAGGGTGGAATTATGAGAGAGGAAGAATGTATGTAATTTTTAATATCAACTTAAATTAAGTATAACAACATATTGTATAAAATTTTCCATTTACTATATATTAGTAATAAATAATGAACTATTTGAATTTATAATTTAAATTTTTACTTATAGAGCACAAATATAAATAAATATGTACATTTAAAAGTGTTGCTTACCAACACAAAACTGTTCATCTGGCCCAAGAATATATCCGGGATCACAAAGACAACGATAGCTCCCAGGGATGTTAACACATCGACCATGTAGACAGATCCCTGGGTTATCTGTGCATTCATCTATGTCTGCAAATAATACATAACAAAACAATATTGTTCAATACTATGTTTTCTCTTTTTAAACCAAACTGAACATATTTGTAGATTCTGCATGTGCTCCCTTTTATGAAAATGTTGGTACCATTGTGTTTTCAATGAATATAGCTATTTGGATTCATATTTTATAAAACTTGGCTGTGATGATGAAAGCTGATATGTTTCTCAATATATCAGTCTTCAAATGATCTTAACAGGGGTTTTGTTATGTATTTTTAAATTCAAGCAAGCATTTGTTTCTATTCATCATAACAAACAAGACAAAACAACAACAATGCAAATGGCAAAAGAACAATCATTAAAAAATCAGCTAACTCACATGAATGTTGATATGATATTTAACAAATACATTTTTGAAAAAATATATCAAAGAGCCACTTTAATATAATGAACAGATACTTTAATATTAAACACATCAAACTGAAGTACTCCATTACAACGTACCTATACAAGCTTGTCCTGAAGATGTTAAAACAAATCCTGGGTTACAATGACACCTGTAAGATCCATCCATGTTGACACATTCCCCATTGGCACACATTCCCTTCAGAGCACATTCATCCATGTCTGAAAAACAAAAAATATTTATAATATTGTTAGGAAAATAACTTAACTGCAGATGTTGTTTTTCCCCATTCCTCTTAATTTGTCCATTGTGCCTCAAAATCAGAGATGTGTTATAGACAGAAATTCAGATCTATATTTTGTCTCTGATAAGTCACTGCCCTATAAGCTTTTCATGCAATACAAGAACTCATCAGTTAAGCTGGATGATGAGAGACACAAGATTCCATGAAATGCTATTCATACATAGAGTATAATACTGTAAAAGTAAATTGCAGTTTTTGTTTTTCAAAATTTCTCTTAATTTGTCCACTGTGGCTTGAAATTAGAGGTGTGTAGTAATACTGAGTTATACAAAGAATATTGAAGTATGAAATAAACATACACTTTCCTATCAAAGCCATATTCCTCAACTATATTTAATCCATTGACTACTGATTCACTGTATTGGGTACAATCTGCCTCCACGTTTAGAGCAGCTGCAATCAATGAGTTAAAATGGGTAATATTTCCATAATGAAAGTTGTATCCTTTTAAAGGAGGTAATTTTACATATGCAGTTTTAAGTACAATATATCCTGCCATTTCCAATTTAATGAATTTAATAAGATATCAAAGATCACATAAATTACTTATTTGACTTTAAAATGAAATATCAAAATTTACATCACTGCAAGTTTCTCAATTAAGCAAATCGAAATGTTTCAAACAATAAAGAATGTGTTTCACAAAATTTCATACAAGGAGTTTTAAAACTCAAATAATTCATACATATAAAGAACAAAGAAACTTTTAAATTTAAAACAAAAGTCTTAGGCCAAAGAACTGAAGCACTTACCTTAAAGTTTTAAGTACTAAAACAGAAAATTATATATCATTATTCTAATATTTACAATATTCAGAAGTCATATACTTTTCTGTCTGTTACACTAGTGAGAATTTATCAAAGTGACATGCAAGTATAAAGGCTGGGCTTACACATAAAGTGTAATTCAGTTGTATGGTTTTATAAGTCTGAAGTCAAACAGAGGAAAACAACTAGTCACATTTTTCTTAACAGTTCCTACTGGATCTGAAGTAGTAACTTGGTAAAGAATACCCCACATATGTAATTGTTAGCAATCACTTTCCTGAATAATAAGCATTAAATATCATTGAAAATAAGTTATTGAAAGTTATCAAAAGTATGTACTATTTTTAAAATTATTAACATCACACATTCACAGTCTATTTAAACTAGAAACAAGATTTTAACTATGTGTTCTTCAGAAAATGTAACAACAATGACTTTCCCTTGTTATAAACAAGATTTTAATAATTATAAAATGATTAAATGGATGTATTCTTCAGACAATGTAATAACAATGATTTCTCTTGTTATAAACAAGTTTTATGAGTATAATAATCTGATTTTGGATTAAGTCTAGGTCTTTTAGTCAATAATACTTAAATACCAAAAAATTTATTTTTAAACAACATGTAAATTACATGTATAAAGCATAAATGCTTCACACATAGATCTGAAAGAAAAGTGTTAAAGATGCTAAAAAAGGTTCATTATTAACCTGTGCAGTCTTTCTGATCAGCTGTCAAATGATAGCCAGGTGGACAAATACAGCTGAAACTTCCCATAGTGTTGTGGCACTTCCCTTTCCTACATGTATCAGCTTCTTGACATTCATTCTTATCTGAAATAATGTTATAAAAAGTTAAAGTAATTTTATTGATTTATGTTACTGTCCCTTATAAAGAATTATAGTAAAAGGTAGCTGTAGGTATTTAAAACTATGATAAAACTGAAAATACTTCTAATTAGTCAGTGATAATTATAAGGTGTAAAATACTTACTAAAATTATATCATTTCATGCAAATAAGAGGCTTTTTAGATGATTTCAGTTTCTACTAATCACTTTTCTCTTTACTTGATCATGGAAAGTTAATATTTTCCTACACTAAAAATATACTTCCAAGAGATACTTACCTCAAATCACAGTTAGAGATATTTTCACTTTGACTGCCCTCTAGTGCACAAATTTTGGCTCGCCACAAGCAATAAAACTCCCACCTAATTCCATGTGTATACAATTTGGTTCAGCTACATTTAAGCAAGCTGATTAGCATGCAAGAGTCCTCCACCAATAAGAGTGTGACAAACCTTCCTATCACAGATGACTTCCTCTCTGCAGTTCAACCCAATCTTCACTTTGAGATTAGGCATGAAAAACAACACCAGACGTGGGAACAACAGGTGGGGAGGGTGAGAAGAGGTAAATATCTATTGGAAATATAGTTTCAGGGAAAGGAAAATATTAACTTCGGATATGATTACTTACCTCCTGTTACAGTTAGAATCCCATATTGAGCAAGTGGAGAGATTGGTGTAAAATTACCTGGATGAGCACCCTTTAAAAGCATTAGAAGAGTAGAGGAAACAAACCTGTGGGAGAATGCACTACATTTGAATCAGGTATACTCTTCACCCACGTGGAGCCAACAGGTGTGGTGTTGCAATAAAAGGGCAGAATAAGGTAACAATTGGAAGTCTCTAAGGAAAAGGAATGTGTGTATAGAGTGGCTAGGGTGGGTCAGACTATAACCAGGAGGTCAACCCCAGTCCAGACAAGTAGCACTGGGAGGAACTCAATCAGCCCAAAGTAGGAGGAGGGTCTTCAACCATTCACCTCAGGTTAAGGGACCATAAGGGAAGAGGAGCCTCCATTCCAAGAACCTAAACCACCATGTGTGCAAATCCAGCACAACCTGCAATAATAAACCACGGTAATGTACATCTGGACAATGTCAGGAAGGTGGAAATCAATCAGCATTGGGGATGTAACATCCACTCTGTGGTAGAAGGAAGATCCCAGACCACTCACATCTGAGACAGCAGTAGGAGGGAAGGTTCCCAGCCAGATGGGCAAACTGCAAAATAGAAGGAAAAATCCAGTCCAGATAGACAGCATCCAGAATAAAACATCAGATCTGTGGAAGGAGGATATTCATGCCTTCTATACAGGCAGAATGCCACTGCCCTACTCTTAACTGAATGGAATTGTGCACACTCAGGAGGATTCCTCCATGATCCATCACCCCAGCGGTTAGGGACTGGAAAGTGGTAAGGACTCCTGTACTTCACTGGAAGAAGGGGTAAAGAAACGTGTTGGAGAGACAGGAGAGAATGCATCACTGGAGAAAATTCAATGGTTGACCACAAAACCCTATTTTGGAAAGCAGACCATTCCTGATTCAGCAATCTAAGGAATGTTAGAGATGGGCAGCAATCTTTTTCTTCTTTACTCATGTTAGTCTATGAGTGTATGGTCCAGTATAACATATTATGATGCAACATGTCACGGGTCTCAACAGTGAGTGTGATAGACCTTATATTGCAGATTTTGCTTATCAGTATTTCTGGACAGGTACCACTCACTACAGAGCAGAATCCATAACATCTAAAGTAGGCCCCTGAAAAAAATATGGAGAAATGAAATAACCCACTGAGGGTTGTACCAACATATGGAAAATTGCTAAAGGGGAAGACAATATCCAGCTGAACAGGAAACTGCCAGATGGTGCAAGTAGTGCAACTCAAAAATGTGGGGAGTGGTCCACATGCCAGCCTGGATAATCTCCTCCAAAGGATGATGGAAATAAGCAGCAAATGGCAGTGTGAATTGACAGATCTGACTGGATGATACACAGAACAATTAGCAAGATGCAGGAGATTGGGGAGGAATACACAATATGAATAACTTTATGAACTGAACGGTAATGGTGACAGGAGAAATATCACGAAAAATGGATGGTTTCCAATGGATAAACAAACAGGAACAAAAGCCATGGAAGGGTGCTATGCACAGCACATAACATCGAAAAGCACCACCAGACACAGGAGATGATCTGGATCAGAGAGGAAATAAATATGGGATATAGAAGGAAAGAAAATAACTGGAATGAAAAACTGGAAAAACAAAAGGCCGATGACAGGTCCACCCTATAAACCACAATGGTTGAAAAGGACAGACGATTGTCAAACAACCATGTAAAAAAACAGATACCTGAGGAAGGGAAGAATCTATGCCAGATAGACCAACAATGGAATATTCTCTACTTGCATTGATACACAGACAGGGATGAGGAATGGACATTGTGAGACAACAGGTATGCTTAACATGTGGCTAGTCTCAAACCCCTTGCAAGGAACCAGAAAAAAGCCCCGTGTGAAGCTGGAGTGTGGGAATGGAGGAAAGAAGCACCCCTGAATGAAGTTGCTGGAGAGAGACCAAGAGAAAGGGAAAGGTAATGAAGGTTGTTCCTGGATAAGGGACAGGGATAAAAACCACAGTAGAGCCCACCAGAAAGTATCCACCAGAAGGACCCCATATGGAGTGGAATGAATGAGAGAAATTACTGGTGGTAGAAAAAAGATGAGAGAATATGTATAAAGGAAAAATTCTTTTCAATCCTGGCTGAATGCATCTATGGCCAAAGCCAAATGATGTGGAACTGGGGACCAAAAGAGAGGAATCTTGACATTCAAATAAGTAGCAGATGCATCCAGTTGGGAGAAATCTAACTGAGAAAATAACCATTGGAAAACCTGGGGTCAAAATAGCACTCTGTTGGTAGAATCTTGTCAGGACGAGACAAACCATCCACAGTAAGATTGAGAGCACCTGATATGTGACAACTCAGCAAACGTTTTTTAAGGCTATGAGCCCATAAGAGGAGATGTAGAGTGTGGAAACATAAGGACCAGGATCAAGTGCCCCTTTAACTGTGATGTAATAGATAATTGTCGAGTTGTTGGAATAAACTGTAATTGTTATGCCCCACAGAGATGACAGAAAATGAAGTTCCAAACAATTGCTGTAAAGACCTAACTCCTCCTGATACAAACAGTCAAAGATCTCCTGTGCATTGCAGTATGTACCCCATCCTAACAACAAGGCATCTGTGAAGACATGGATATCCAGATGGGTGGAGGAAAATGTACCCCAACTGTTGTGTTGTCCCTGTCTTACCACCAGAGGAAGTCTGACTGAAGGGAAAAGGATCTTGTAGTACCACAGCAAGGAAGACATATGGGCATGGTCAAGAGAGATAAGGGTCTTTAATGATGCCAAGTCCTAAAAAAAGACAAAACCACTTGCACAGGGAGAAAAGATGCTGATAGTGCCCTCTGAACTAAAAACACCATGGGTCTCAGATGCAGAGGAGAAGGCTGGGTTTAACTGAGATGTAATTTAGAAAAAAAAAAAAACACTATCAGATGAACGAGATATTGAGTGGGGTGGATAACAGACTTTTCCATCTTGGTAAACGAACCCACCCAAGCAGCTTCTCTGAGGAGAAGTTGGGTGTGAGAGGAAGACTGCATGATGAATGGAGCCAGAAGAAGCCAGTTGTCTATATAAAGAAGGAAATTGAGCCCACGAAAATGTAGGAATTGGGCAAATGACTGGACCACCTGACAAAAAGCATAAGGTGCCGATGCTAGCCCAAAAGGAAGAGCTCAAAATTGATAAATGTGATCCTCGTGGACAAAATCTAGATAACAACATGTAGCCCAAGCAATAAGGACATGAAGATAAGCATTGAACACATTGAATCTCATCATCCAAAGCCCTGGAAGAAAGACCCATCTGAGAGACAGGGAGAAGTCCATGGTGAATCGAGGCACGTTGAAAAAGCAATTCAGATGAGAAGAGATCAAAAACAGGATGCCAATACCTGGTCTTCTTGGGGACAACAAAAAGTTAGGAATAGAACAGGTGATAATTGTCTGATGGTGCCCTTGGTGAGAAGGTTTTGAACCTCTTCTGTGAGATGCTGGGAGGAAACGGGATCTTGAGGATGGGAAGAAACAGGGACAGGGGATAAGTTGGGAGAAAAAGGATGGAGAATCCTGCTGGCAAAACTCGAATGACCCAAGGGTTTCTTGAACAATGATATGCAAATGCATGAGTCTGTAGTATGTGTGGGGAGCAGAATACTAACCCCCCCCCCACATAAATATTGTGCAAAACATTTGACATGGACCCCAGTATCAGGCAAAGGGGGAAAAACAAAATACAACATACCCATGATATCAAGTCTACAAATGGTGACTGAGGTTTAGGTACTTTAACAGGTTGAGAACGTGCCTGCACAGCAAAGGAGGGTGTGTGTGTGTGTGTGAAGTAAAGGCTGTCCAAGTCCACATTATTCTGATCTAAGTCCTCAGGTAATAGCAGAATTGCTTGTAGATTGGGAGATTCCTCAGCCTGCATGAAAGAAGCCATTCCCAACGAACTATGGTCGACACTTCCTCTGCCAATGACACTTCACCTGCAACTGTTATCAAGGGCTGTTGAGCACCAGTAGCCATTGTAGTCATAATATTAAATTGTGAATTCATAAATATTTACTGACTACCAGTAACTTAGTGAGAAATAGAATTCACAATCAAATGAAGAAATACAACTCAATAGGGCTAGTCACACTTCTATTGGTGGAGGACTGTCACATGCTAATTTGCATGCTTAAATGCAGCTTAAACATGTGGTATATTTGTGGAATTAGGTGGGAGTTTCAAGTCTAGTGGTGAGCAAAAGTGTGTACATTAGACAGCAGTCAAGTCAAGAATAGTTGTAATTGTGAGAAAATGTAATAGCTTCCTATATAAAACTTTTCACAATTAACAAATAACTTCAGTATAAATAAATAAAACCAAATGTAGTAAATGAAATAATACTATGATGTCAAAAACAAAAAACTAGCTCTATTTCTCTTTATATTTTTATATATTTTGCTACATCTCATGTTTGATGTAACCCAGTGATGATGATTATGTGAATTAAAAACCAAAATAATTTCCCACAGCACATTTTGTTCAGTGTAACTCTGATGACTGTTTGGTAAATTAGGAACCAAAATATAAATTCAGTTTTACAGCATATGTATAGAATATTACAAGGTGTACAATGCCATGTTGCATTATTTTGCTGTATTTATGAGATACCACTTTATTTTTTGGATGTATTTATCTTACTTTTGTGTGTTATATCAACAGCAGTAGACACTTAAACTGTAATCATTATTGTTTGACTACAACTTTAAAGTGAAGCACTTATACATTGAATTAATATGCAGATCATGATACTGCTAATATTACACACATTATCAAGTAGCTCACATAGGATTGGAAAGTGTTTTACCTTTAACTCTTTCGCTGGAGCTGGGATGTATATTTCTCAGTACACTGGGAGATATATGCCCCAGCTACAGTGAATGGGTTAAGGAAGACCTGGGAGAAAGAGTTAGAAACACCAGTGGCAATGGATGGCACTATAATTCTGAGCTGAACTATGCAAAATGAGCTTTGGGAAAGAAAATGGACAGATGAAGGAGAGGAGGGTATTTTTATTAATTGATGTTCTTTCTCATTCACTGCTAATGTGGTATGCTTTTAAGAATAAATATTAATTACAACTAAAAAGTAGGTAACTGCTTCAGCTAAGTAGATTCAGAGTGAATTCATATCTTCATGTTGCTAGCACTAGAACTAGTATATGCCATAAAATTCTGGGAGAGATAAGGTAAGGATCTAATGGCTGTGGTTGCCAAGTGCTCGTGTTGCGAACACTAACTCCAGCATTCACTACTGCACTTGAAATGCTTACTTTTTGGAAATGCTTTCTTAATGGTGAATAATGGCAAAATACAAGTTATCTTGAAATTCATTTTAAAGCAATCTTAATATATTTTTGACAATCACATTTTGCAGAAAAGTGTACACTGAACTTTCCTCTTCACATTCATACCAATAAAAAAATAATAATACATGCACGAATAGTTTTTACTGTTGGACAAATATTGTAGGTAATGTAAGTTTTGAAGTTTTCTGAAAACTTCACATGACTCTTGAATCAAAAGTATGCAAAGCTGGTAAGTGAAATTTTCCAGTTCCAAACAGCTAAACATTTGTCATTTTAATTCTGGAAAAGAGTAATAAGCATGCATATTCTATGTATAATAAGCACACTGTATAAACATAAAAATTTAAAAGTAGTTTTATTTCTTCTTCTTTTCATTTTCTTTTATTTGCAAAACTGCTGTTTTGTTCAACTCTTCTGAAGAAACTTAAACATATACAGAAGATCTCGGTGGTAGGAGTGAATAACAGTATCATTACAAAATAAAATTTCTTCATATAACTGAAAAATAGGACAGGAGATGATCTTACTATCTATAACTGTTTGAACAATATCTGACGCTCCATAAGATCAAACTAAAGAAATGAAGTGTAAAAATGTTAATACATTGACACTTTTTAATGGAAGGCACATACTTAAGTGAGACTTATGATAATGTGAATGCTTTGGTACAATGTGTGCTTTAGATTAACTTAAGACAGGCAGACCTTGATTTAAAATCATATATACATAGTACTGATCCATGGATCAGTATTCTAAGGACAAAGTGGTGATCCATCACCAAATTTACTGGTTAGTTTTTGCACACTGACTTGGAATATCACTCATTACAATGTAAACACTGCTGAAACACATTTGGCAAATGAAAATCAAATAATTTCTATGTGAATATCTGTTTTGACAATTTCAATGACCAAGAAGAAAACTAATTTCTGCCACAAAATGTAAAATATTGCATGTTTGAAGTACATACATCTCATGTTTAATTTCAAAGTAATATCAACCTCCTGGAATGGTCCACCAAGAGTCCAGATTTTTATCTATATTGGACACTGCTGAAAGAATTTTTTGAAAAGTTAGACTAAAGCCTTTCAGAGAAACAACAACAATTATCTATGCTAAGGGCAGAGCTAAATCAACTAGGATGGTGAAAACCAAGTACCTCTTTTATGACTATTTGTTTCAATACTTGTGGCAGAGCAGTATATATATAGGATATATAGGAGTCAGGATTCCGACTCACTTATTGTGTTTTTTATTAACAGTATAAGATGAGAAACAAACATTTTCTCAGGTAAATATATCTGTATTGATGTACTCACAGTAAAGTGTAATCTTGCTAATCCTACTTGAAATATTAAAACGATTTCATACATATTTATTACTATTTTTGCATGCTTCTAGTATTTTTTGTTGTTGTTTTGTTTTTGCAAAGTGTGTACAACTAAAAGTGGCTACTGAGGAAGCATTTGTCTTTGTTTTCATATAAAAATGTCATAATTAGTTTTTAGTCATGAAAATATTTTACTTAAAGGTAGACCAGAAACATACTTTCCAACACCTTAACATAAAATTATCAACATTGCAACAAAAGAGTGAAACATGTAGCCATCAGCATGTTTTCAGATTACCCAAAAAACCTTGTACTTTGTTATACTTCAGCAATTATACTTTATGTACTTTAACATCAAATATTGTTGATTTTCTAGTACTACTGATGTTTAATTTCTTCTGTTTGTAAATTTCATGATTTCAAACAAATGAGGAAATTTATTAAAAAAATAATCAAATTATTTTATTGGTCAATACTATGGATCTGTTGCCATAATAAAGTTGAAACATATCAGTTTGAAATTATGCACAAGCTCATTTAGAATTAAGATTAAAACTAATCTATTGTGTATCAACAAATGAATTTCCAACAAATTTACAATAAAGTTTCATATAAATACCTTCACAACGTTTTCCATCTTGTACAGCTTGATATCCTTCAAAGCATTCACACTGATATGATGTCCGAGTATTCACACACTTCCCATTCTCACACAGATTAGGCCTGAGCACACACTCATCTATTTCTAGCTGCTCAGCTTCTCTACACAACTTGTTATACTGCCCTGAAATATAAGCCATATATGTCTGATATGATAAACAACATGTACCTGATATCATATTAAGTTCCATTTGTTGCAAAACAACTGTATGTCATGTGTTAAACTTTACAAGGTACAATACTAATAACATGCTTTAAAATTTTTACATACCAATGGTTGGCACAAAATGTGACAACCATGAGCTTCTTTATTTCTTTAATAAATTTAAGCCTAATAGACTGCATACTATGAAATTAACAGACAATTTTAAGAATAGACACTACAAACTGTCAAACTATAAATTTTAAAACATATGCCAATAACAGATTAGAAAAGTTGTAACCTCCACAGCACTACTAGGTTATTAATATAAAACATTTGAAATAAAGAAGCTGATTTGGACCCATGCTTTCTGTGTTATTCCTATAAGTATACTGATGAATAATGCAAGTTCACGACAATAAATTTCTTTTAAAACCAAAAAAATTACTTACAGAAAACCATCATTAAAGTCTATGTATTGTGTAACCATATTATATAAATGGTGATTGAATAGTTGATAATCTACTTCTTGATTTATGTTGGCATTGTATTTTTACAACTTAAAAGTTTGGTCAGTCTTTAAAATGTGTAACAAAAGATCAAGAATAAATAACCTCTACAAAGACAATGTTTACTTACATAACATGTCATATGAATCCAAAACATTTAAATTAAAATGTGTTTTGTGACTTAGCTTTAATTCATTCACTGCCATTGGCACATCTATTTCCCCCATCTATAGCACTGCCATAGGCATACACACACACACACATATAT